TTTTAAAATTAGTGGTAGTAGAAGAACATTACAACTGTTCTATATACATAACTGTACTAATAATGTAACATTCAATGATCCTCTGTTTCGGATGTGCAGAATTTATAATAAAAACGTAAAAAGCTTGGATATATTTCATCAAAGTTTATATTCATATCATAAGGTTATAAACAGCCTAACTTTGTAGCCTAGCATTGATGTGGGTAGGTGCATAATGATGATTAAATTGTAATATCTCTGCATCGATACCCCTTTCTTTTAATTGTATCTATTCTATGTAAACGTTGTGTGCAACATTTATAGGAATTCAATTTGAATGCAAAAAAACTAATGTTATTCTATAAAAATGTTTGAGATTGTATTCTGTTGTTGTACCTATAAATAAATAAATAAATAAATAAATTGATTAGATAGAAAAAAGCTAGTTGTTTGATTTGAGTATTAAAATGAACTCTTAATGCACAACTCGTTTTTTTCAACGTCTCCTTTGTTTGTTAATACAATAAAATAATAATCATTAAGTTGGTCGCAGGCGACATAAGCAATAACTGCAAACAAACACAAATCAGCGCGAGCAAACACCGCCCGCCCGGTCACTGCCTCGGCAAATGTTGACCCGCCCCCTAAATAGTAAAGGGGTGACATTTGACCCCACACTGTCCACTAAAGTATTTTCATGAGCATATTATGGAAAAAAAATATTTTTTCATAATTTAAATTAATTAAGTAGGTACTTATCGATTGGTGAATTAAATCAAAACGTCACTACTCTCATTTGACGTAATAATTCTGATAACATCCAAGTGATTTGACAGCACTTACACATAGCATGGCTTCCGAAATGAATTAGGCCTTCAAAAATTTGACACAGTTACAAAGTTGCTACGAAGTTTTTCTCCAGTTTCCTCGAACTTCATTTGTCGGGTGTCAAAATTCCCGTAAATGAGCCGGGCAGAGGCAGCGCCATTGTGCAAGTTAGGGCTTAGTTAAAACCGACCGTCCTCAGCTTTGGCGCACAATGGTTGTTCCCCAACTTCCGATTAGGAAAATTTGGATACACGCTTATTACCTATTGTGTTTGATAAAATTATTATTATTAATAATATTGGGACTAAAATTAATCGATTTAGTAGATTCTAATCTTAACCTTTGTTGAACAAACAATACCTAAATGCCAAATGGCCGTAAATTCACTTGTAGATAGAATAAAATAAAGTATACATGTATATGTTTTAGATACAAAAAAGGATGAAATTAAAAATATTACTTATATGTAAGTATAAACAAAACATAAAATTGCAAAACTGTAGCTCTAAACATATCTCTGTAACTGGGTTAATGCCTAAAAATAATCAAGCAATTAAATGAATTTCATCCTTTATCATGGCACCAAACAGTGACATATTTCCAGAACTTAAGTATGCCTTCATAGCGACGTTTATACTCATAACACTGCGCTCCCCAACCTACACCAACCAACAGGCCTATTTCTAAAACTCGTAATTCCACCAAAACTACACGTGTGTCATATTCCCGGAAACAAAACTCCCCACAACCGAACGATAATAAAAATATAGAAAATTTCCCCTCATATTTTATTGGATCGCGGCCCTTTCATGGGATTTCGCCCCGTAAGCCTCCCGAGCGTCACACGCGTAATAGAATAAAGAACAAGTCACTATTACTTTAAAGGGAATTTGTAGTACATAAGACACCGAAAATAAGATGCTCATTTTTACGTTGTTCAACACCATAGGGATGATTCGGGGCCCGTAACAAAATGGCGCTCTTGAATTGCTTTGAACGCAGGGAACCCCAAGTTGAATTTTTGATGATGATATGCCATCGAATAAAATTTTTCGTCTTACTCATAAAACAAGGAAGTGAATTCTTATTTCCAGAAAATATTAAATTAAGTAGGTATTTCTCGTGCAACATACAAAATATCACATTGCCTTCGAAATATTGTCATAAACAATTTTATCTGATAAAAAACGGTGGAAATCCCCAGCTTCATTAAAATATCACTAACCCTCATTAAGTGACAATGACAGTCATCGTCAGCCTTAATCCTTTCATCTCTGACTGGTTTTTATTAGTTTTTATAGTGATGCGTCGCAGCCCCGGTTCGCTCGTCAGCACACGCCGTTAAGCACGCTCCCGGTTTACGACCAGGGCTTGGTACTATTTATTTAATTGCACCTCGTGACCTCTGTGGAGGACATGACTGTGCGTCATTGTAAAAGTCACATTTTTCATTAGAACGAGTTAATGATTCTACGTAAAGGGTTTACACACACACACAAGGGTTTCACAATCTTAACTTTTTTATAGTGTCATCATAATAAATTGATGTTTGGTTAGTTACTGCCTACATTATTCATACAAAAGTTCAAGCTTAAGATTACCTGCCCTTTGCCCCTGCCCTTTCTAAACTCATAAGTTATACGTAAGACAGGCCCATATCGAGCCCGATTCGTCGATAAAAAGACGTCTTCATCACAAAAAGCACATCTGTGGCGGCAAAAAGGGCCCTAACGCGGGCCATTCGTCTCGCGGCGGCTGGGATTGACGTCAGTTTTTCAGGTTTGATATTGTACGAAAAAGCCACAATCTGATGGTTAGATATTTAGATATCTTAGATTCATGGGCGCGTGAAATGCTAAAGATATGGCAGTAACGTGACTTGACTTTATGGTTAGAAGACCTACACAAGCTTCACAGTATATGGGGAGCTTTTCTTATTTGGAGACTATAGCTCTAAGGATTATTTATTTATCATTTATGCTCAAAAATTAGGCACGTTTTAATACTAAAATAAGGACTATGCCTTATTCCAAGAATTGTTAAGAAGCTGTTTCGTCTCAGAATATAAATGGCGACTAATGCGAGTGGGCGCGATTCGATTGATTTCATTGAGCACGTTATAACTACTACACGTCTCGATCACACCTGCCCCGAATAAGAAACTTTAAGTCCTAACCATACAGAATAAATAAAACTCTAGGTCCTAACCAACCATACAGAATAAATATGCGAGTGGTATTTTTGACAATACTTTTCGTAACTTGGGCTTGTATTTTCACCTGCTGTCAGATAACGTTTTAGTCATACCTACTTTAACATAAAACCTTTACTTCTCTAAGAACTTTTTTAAACTGTCTAGGTGGGGTTTAGGTAAAATATTCGTCTAGTCTCCGTAATATCAAGATCGTAGCCTCATGTCTGAGGGACGTGGGCAATATTACCAGTTTTAGGTTTTCAGTTGCAAATTGTATCTTAACGTGAACGTTATACGGGACATATAAAATGAACTGGTTTTTGGTAGAGTGAGTCACTTATACGATAACTGTGAAAGCAATAACTCGACGTAAGTAGTCGGTCACAATTTATTTACCTATAATAAAATTTCCACTACACCTGTATGAAGTCTTACAATTCCAGTGTAATTCTTTTCTTAAGGGTTCCATTTCGTGTTTAAAATGTTAGTTTTACTACTAGTAAAATACATTAATTTGCGTTAACGTGATTGAATAGAACAATTTTATCAATGTTGGCAACAGACAAACGTGACAAAAGGTATTAAATTGAACCTAATAATGAACATTGGATAATCCTCATTATTCACAAGATTACTCATTAAGTGTCTGAAAGCACTATCGCAAACACTTAGTATGTTTTAGACTGAAATAACGAAATTTTATTTAGTGAAAATCCAATTATTTTGAAAGGCTATTTTCAATTCTAGATTTAAATAAGCTTTTATTAACTCGCACTTAGCCCGTCATTAAAATTCGACGACGTCTCTTAATTTAGATTGTAAGGCACATAATGTGAGTTACAGAGTATCCTTCACGCGATTTTCGAGAGATAACCTAATCCGTAGGATTTTAATAATTTAGGCAGATTCAGAACGAGTCTAACTTGCTTCGAGCACAAATTGCGTAAGTTCAGACTATTTGCACGTTGAGTTATGAGAAGTTGATGCCTTGAACTGCTAAGTTTCTTATAACTTCAGACTCAGCTTAAGTTACGGGTATTTTAGTAAATGCGTATTAATTAATCATTTGTCAAATTCAGGGTTCAACATTTGTACGCACTGAGTAGGCTACATTAACGACAAATTAATGTATAGAGCTTTGACATTTGTAATAAATATTAAGCATTTAATGGAATTGATTACATTTCAATTAAATCACTCATTATAAGGTTTAAAGCGCTTAAATACCCGTGTTAATTTGCGATGGAGGTCAAGTATTTAATGTGTAAGAGATTAACTCTTACCTACGGCTTAAATTTATTGGCTCGTTAATAAACTTTATTATGAGTTCTTTTTACAATTTATATCGGTGCTTGAAGTTCTAATACTAAAAAAACTTTAGCTGTTATCTACTTATCAATGCATTTATTAGCAACGACGATGGCCGACGATATTATCATGCAATCGGAACTTCATCGCTCTCAGACGCCGCTACATAAAATAATATAGAGTATAACATACCTACTATGTCTCGTGTCGTCTCGGACGAGGCATTAATTGAATCCTTATCGGCCTCGCCCTCCCGGCACTCCCGGAGTCTCGGAGGGCCGATTGATCTGGGAACAATTGCCGCAGTGAGTACTTGTGACATTGTGCCCTGTAAGGGATACCTACACACACAACGTTTAAACAAGAAACATTGCCTAATTTATCTAAACAAACAGACGACAGACGAACATTTTGACAAAGAGCCATCTCAAGCAGAAGAAAAAGAATGAAAACAATGAGGGCTATCGTTTTTATACTTAACAGTTGGCACCCCTGGCGATTGACAGGACCTTACTACAGTGGCGCCATCTTAATGAGTGCAAATGCGATAGTCCTCCTACCACTTTAGCGCTCACCAGTTAGTGCCACTGTCTTCGCTACTAGCAAGTGACAGGACCTTACTCTACAGTGGCGCTAACTGGTGAGCGCTAAAACGATAGCCCTCATTAGGTTTTGAAGCGAAGTAGTAACTATGGTATTCGATGTTGGACTGGCCAAATCAAGATACAAGGAGTGCGGTTGGTTCCCCGTCGCTACTTCACTATTGTGGTGACACTCGTACGTCGTTTATCTTACAACGAGGGTTTAACGGCAAGCGGACTATTAGTAATTCGTATAGTTACAAAGTGCTCTAAAAAAAGGGAGTCAGTAAGTAGAGTAGTTGTAGCCTAGAGTGAGATGACGACATCAAATTGTATGAAATGCAACGCTGTGATCTGTGAAGCACTAACGTTGACTGATTCAATTGTATTATATCTGTCTACAAGAACCACTTTTCCAGTGAAACTCTGAATCTTAATAACAATGTGAATAGATTTAGTGAGTAAGTTTATTAAATCTTATCCTGAAACACTAAATCAGAACTTAAAGTTAGTATTCCCCAAATGAAGGTGCCATAAGAAACACTCCCCCGCGCCATTAAGACAAAATATGAATTCGGCTTTGTTCGCACAAAGGCACTTCGTTACCGCTCGCTGATTACCGCCGAGGCGATAGCGGCACACGTTTGATGAAAATGAGCCAGGTCCTGAAGAAATTTTACAAGATTACTATTTAATAGGTCAACTTATAAATAAAATTGACGACCTCGGCATTGGAACTAAACAATTCATCAACAACTTTGTTACTGTAAAGTTTACAGTTTAAACAATGATAGGTAGCAATCAACGCCTAGAGCATTTAGGTGTAACTCTTATTCCTAGAAATTTTAAGATTTTTGGTACCTTTTTCCTTTAACATAAAAACAGCAATTCCTGTTTGCTTTGCCATTAATAGAAAGTTTATCTCCATCTCTAGCTTCTCTAAGGATTTTTGAATAAACACAACTTCGCTAGAGCCACTACCGTGCGCCCATGCATGTGATAGGTTCGCTTGGCTCGGGTTTAACTTGTAGATCACCGCCGCGCACAAAGCTGCCGCATGAATATGAATATGTGCCCGCACCAATTGTCTATCCCTGCTGGGGCGACGGCATACACAACATCTTGGTAGCTACAATGGCAATAAATGAAGACCTTAAAATAGTTTTCCAGTACCCATATTAAGCTCCTTGAAGAGAACTCTTTGTTTCAGGTCAATTAAATATTTGACAATACTTTTTTCTACGAGCACCTTTATCAGTGTCAATCGCAATATTTGCCCGACGAGGAAATATCAGACGTCAAATAAATTCAGTCAAAAAGAAATGAAAGTATTAATATTCACAGGAATTCGTAATTAGTAAATTTTATAGGCGAAGAAGGCATCATTAAGTGAAATTAATATTCCAACCACGCTCTTGCTTTCTTGATTCATGGTGTGCTTTGAATTTTATAACGAAGTTATTAATACCGGTCTTTCCCGTCGTACTAAAATTTACTTTTACAACCTAGAACACTTTAAGCACTAGAGTTAATACCACCATAATAGACAAATAATGAGCCAACACCACCGAAAGACTAATTTACAATATGCAAATAAGTACAAAATGCACGAACAATATTTTTACTACGCGCCATATATGAACTCGTGGATGCCGCAATTATTTCGGACGGCGCGTTTTAAAGTTAACAATACGCAATCTCGTCTAACGCGACCAATTGTTTCGACAATGGGCAGTTACCAGCTATGGCCACTCGGTCGTATATTGGTACATAGCTGAAAAAACTCAGCCACAACAAGGGAGGTGCGTTTTATTTGACGCCGAGTGTAGATCTAGTTGACTATCATAATTCGAACTAATAACCAAAATGTTCTACGAGTACATGGGTTAATATCATGTAGGTACTTAAAATAAAAATACAGTTTTCAGCTCAAGTAAAGTCGTAAAGCCTGACACGTGATTTTATTATTGCCTGAAACCGAAGAAAATAAGAAATAGACACATTATTACGTGCGGTAAAGAACTGTCATAAGAACCCACTAAGTTCAGAATGAGAACACGCCCTAGCAACGGCATGCTTTATTTACTGAACATCGTCCTTGAGTTGAACTGGCTGATATACTCGTAGTTGAACTTTGTCACCGAATATTTAACCTTACGTCACGAAACTCCAACGAGAACAAACAGAGGAAGCGATCAGCGTAATTATTATTATTTTAGACTTAATTTGTAGTAAACTGTGGCGCGGCGCGAATACAGACGGCGATTAATGAATTGTTGATTTGACAGCCCACAGTGAAACCACACTCGTAGGGAGATTAATCGAATATTGCTTTGCCTTAAATGTGTTAAGCTTACGCTTTGTAATCGTATTCGGCAGCCAATATAGCTGACAGGCATGTTTTATTCATAGAAGAGCAAATAGACATTGTACGAGTAATTGCTCTCCATTAATTAGGAGAGAAATCAACACCGCCCACCAGTTCAGAGTTGAAATAATAAAAAAATACAGTTCACACAAAATATGGACGCAGGTGGGTAATCCCAAATAATTCTTTACTCAGAATCTAAATTGGTGTCAATAGAATGGGAGTATCGAATAAGAACCAGAACAACAAACGTATGTTTACGTTTGTGGAAAGTTAGACATAGACTAGTGAACGCCAGAACTACGTCATTTTATAAAAGCTGAAAGTTTGTCTGTCAGCGTATGCTTCCAATATATGTGAAAATGTTGGTGCATTATGAAGTTGGTCATCGTGGCTTTGGCAGCTACCCTCAAAAAACTGTCTGGCAAGGAGTTGGATCTGTCAAAACTGTCTGGCTGATGAGGAAACAACTTCTTATCATTGCCTAAATACTATACATAAAAATAAGCTTTTATGGTCCAACGTAAGTAGAATTACAATCCATTGAATATACAGCAAAGGTCACCGTAAAAGTTAGGGTTACGTTATAAAAGCTGATTTTTATATCTAATAGTTTCCTCATCAGCCAGACAGTTTTGACAGTTCCTACTAATTTCCAGACAATCTTTTTAGTGTAGCTGCTGCCAAAGCCACGATGACCCAAACTTCATAATGCATCTGGCGTTCTCCAGCTCTTAGTCTAACAGGACTAGGCAGCGATTCCACTAGCAGCTCGTCTTTAAACCTCAATTATAACTCTCCGGGGACCGTAATCAGATTAGCGCTAAATGACCGCGACCGGAAGAGAGGCCCGCCCGCCCCCGCAGCGCGCCCACAAACAAACAGCAGCTAATCGAGCTGAAGCATCGCTAATTGTTCAGCAAACGGCTGTCTATTGACACAATGTTTCATTAAATCCAATCATACTGATGGTTGTCCATGACATACCTATACCTAAACGCAACCATTTGAACAAAACATAAAGCTTGTACAATTTTGATTCGAGTTGTACATTGTGTATTTACAATACTATTTAAGCTGCAGATTTAAGACAGCTTTAAGCCGATGGTTGTAATGAACTTGCAATAAAGACAATTAAGTTAAAAGCGTTTCATTAGATTAGTGTTGTTTAATGGTCAATTAAAACAGATTAATAAAATATGGCTAATAAACTAATACATAATATTTATGTATTAGTTCTGCATAAAGACAGTCAGAGGTTCATTGGTTTTTCAGATATTAAAATATTAGAGTTCTAAGAGTTAGTAGGAGACGCTCCGGGCAAAACCCCATAACAAAGAAAAGGTTGTTTAGTTGTTTACTTGGAGATAATTGAATCTTCGATCTGTGTTTTATCTGTATAAACCTCGTAACTAAACTTAATCCTGCGTTTCAAAACCCCAACCATTTTCATTCATTTCAGGATGTAAGAACTCTAAATTAAACTATCCGATTGAGTCAATCAAACACGTCAGTAGCAAATCAAAAGATTGCTACACTGTTTGAGAACTGACAAAGAAAACAGACGTTTTCATATTCCCTTCCCAACATGAAACAATCTACCAAAAGGCGAGATTGAGCAGCGTGGCTCGGCCGCACTCAGGCGCAGTGACCTAAAAAAGGTCGGAGCGCAGCGTTACGAAGTAATCGAACAGCATATTACGGGAAAGGGGAATCCGAAATGATATAACAAAACATGGCCTTAAAATAATCTTTCATGAGAGGTCCAAGAGAGGAAAATGTAGCGTTTTGATTTTATTTATTAAGAGTTGGTTTCGTAGCGATGGGAAGACGGATTCTACCACTACAGTCTTCTCCCGAAATGGGAGGATACCTTAAAATNGGCGAAGAAGGCATCATTAAGTGAAATTAATATTCAAACCACGCTCTTGCTTTCTTGATTCATGGTGTGCTTTGAATTTTATAACAAAGTTATTAATACTGGTCTTTCCCGTCGTACTAAAATTTACTTTTACAACCAAGAACACTTTAAGCACTAGAGTTAATACCACCATAATAGACAAATAACGAGCCAACACCGCCGAAAGACTAATTTACAATATGTAAATAAGTACAAAATGTACGAACAATATTTTTACTATGCGCCATATACTCGTATGAACTCGTGGATGCCGCAATTATTTCGGACGTTTTTTAAAGTTAACAATACGCAATCTCGTCTAACGCGACCAATTGTTTCGACAATGGGCAGTTACCAGCTATGGCAACTCTGCCGCATATAGGCACACAGCTGAAAAAACTCAGCCACAACAAGAAAACTGATGTAGTCGACTGTGTCAATGCAAACCATGATAAGCATGCTCTACGTGGGTCAACATCATGTACATAGAACAAAAAATAAAACATTTTTCAGCACAAGTCCTAGAGCCCGACAGACAGTTTTATTATTGCCTGGAATCCAAAAAACCGGCACCTATTTAAGCTGGGTTGCACTTTTCCTGATTTGACAGATTTTTTATTTTTTGACGGTTGTTAAACTTTAACAATCTGTTATTGTGTTGTTATTGTTATAGTTACAGTTAAAATTAGGTGGTGCAACTCGGCCTAAGTGATGTGAGTAGTTCTATCAGCAGAACTCACAAGTTTGAACACGCCATACAAACCGCATGTTTCTTCTACTAAACATCGACCTTGGGTTGTACTGGCTGATATAGTTAAACTTTGCCACCGAATATTTAACCTTACGTCACGAAACTCCAACGAGAACAAACAGAGGAAGCGATCAGCGTAATTATTATTATTTTAGACTTAATTTGTAGTAAACTGTGGCGCGGCGCGAATACAGACGGCGATTAATGAATTGTTAATTTGACAACCCACAGTGAAACCACGCTCGTCGTGAGATTAATCGAATATTGCTTTAACTTAAATGTGTTACGCTTATGCTTTGTAATCGTATTCGGCAGCCAATATAGCTGACAGGCATGTTTTATTCATAGAAGAGCAAATAGACATTGTACGAGTAATTGCTCTCCATTAATTAGGAGAGAAATCAACACCGCCCACCAGATCAGAGTTGAAATAATAAAAAAAATACAGTTCAAAAAATATGGACGCAGGTGATTATATACCCAAATAATTCTTTACTCAGAATCTAAATTGGTGTCAATAGAATAGGAGTATCGAAGAAGAACCAGAACAACAAACATATTTTTACGTTTTTGGAAAGTTAGATATAGACTAAGAGCTAGTGAACGCCAGAACTACGTCATGTTATAAAAGCTGAAAGTTTGTCAGCATATGCTCCCAATATATGTGAAAATGTTGGTGCATTATGAAGTTAGTCATCGTGGCTTTGGCTACCCTCAAAAAACGATTATAATAATTATAAGTAGTTTCCTCATCAGCCAGACAGTTTTGACAGTTCCTACTAATTGCCAGACAATCTTTTGAGTGTAGCTGCTGCCAAAGCCACGATGAACCAAACTTCATAATGCATCTGGCGTTCACCAGCTCTTAGTCTAACAGGACTAGGCGGCGATTCCACTGGCAGCTCGTCTTTAAACCTCAATTATAATTTTCCGGGGACCGTAATCAGATTAGCGCTAAATGCCCGCGACCGGAAGTGAGGCCCGCCCGCCCCCGCAGCGCGCCCACAAACAAACAGCAGCTAATCGAGCTGAAGCATCGCTAATTGTTCAGCAAACGGCTGTCTATTGACACAATGTTTCATGAAATCCAATCATACTGATGGTTGTCTATGACATACCTATACCTAAACGCAACCATTTGAACAAAACATAAAACTTGTACAATTTTGATTCGAGTTGTACATTGTGTATTTACAATCCTATTTAAGCTGCAGATTTAAGACAGCTTTAAGCCGATGGTTGTAATGAACTTGCAATAAAGACAATAAAGTTAAAAGCGTTTCATTAGATTAGTGTTGTTTAATGGTCAATTAAAACAGATGAATAAAATATGGCTAATGTATTTATGTATAGTTCTGCATGAAGACAGTCAGAGGTTCACTCGTTTTTCAGATGTTATAATATCAGAGTTGAAAAAGTTAGTAGGAGACGCTCCGGGCAAAACCCCATAACAAAGAAAAGGTTGTTGAGTTGTTTACTTGGAGATAATTGAATCTTCGATCTGTTTTATCTGTATAAACTTCGTAACTACATTTAATCCTGCGTTCCAATAGACCACAACTATACTGGTCATCACAAAAATCGGCCCACCTAAGTACGTTTTACAGGAAAACTCGTTTCTACTGACACAATCATGGTGCCCCAACCATATTGGTGTTATTTGAAAGCCCTTATAAATGTATATAAATATATAAATATCCTTAAAGAAAAACACATTTAATTTCTTAATAAACGATTAACATAAACGCGATATGCAATAAATGTGACTTGAAAAAAGACCTCACTTTGGGCTCACCTCTGGGATCAATTAGACCAATTTTTATGGTTATAAAACCAAATAATGATCTCACGTGTCCTCTTTAACAGATGGATAGCGATTAATCCCAACTTAACAGTTTTATAGCCATAAAAGTTGGCTCAAGCGTAACTACCTATTTTTTGAAGAAGTGACTCTGGATTCTTCTACAGACACATTTTTGGGGTAAAAACCTTTCCTTTAATGAAATGAAGTTTAGAACTAGGCTTTTAAATGGTGCCAATATTGGTGGGTACGTTTGTAAGTGCTTGTCGCGGGAGGGTCGATTTTTGTGATGACCAGTGTATTTTCATTTATTTCAGGATGGAAGAACTCTACATTATATTATCCGACCGAAGGAAGGAGTCAATCAAACACGTCAGTAGCAAATCAAAAGACTGCTACACTGTTTGAGAACTGACAAAGAAAACATACGTTTTCATATGTTTACCCTTCCCAACATGAAACAATCTACCAAAAGGCGAGATCGAGCAGCGTGGCTCGGCCGCACTCAGGCGCAGTGACCTAAAAAAGGTCGGAGCGCAGCGTTACGAAGTAATCGAACAGCATATTACGGGAAAGGGGAATCCGAAATGATATAACAAAACATGGCCTTAAAATAATCTTTCATGAGAGGTCCAAGAGAGGAGAAAATGGCGTTTAATATTTATTTTTATTTATTAAGAGTTGGTTTCGTAGCGATGGGAAGACGACTCTACCACTACAGTCTTCTCCGTAAATGGGAGGATAGCTTAAAATAACGGTTCTAAAAAGAAACCACTGAGGCCGAGGCTACTTCATGCCCCACACAAATAGTGCTAGTTAATTTGTTAATGGTATGAAGTTCGTGTTTTGCATCTCAAAATATTCGGGTCCAACGTTAAATCCGTTCTGCTCTATGGGGGTGAAACGTGGAAGGTCACCAAGGTTATCTCGCACCAGCTGCAGGTCTTCATCAACTGCTGCCTTCGCCGAANAATTGACAGTGGGGCGCCACCGTCAATACCGGATCGCTGGTTCCGATTTTTGCCATGTTGGAAACCATATAGTTGAACGATGGTAGCGTCCCCCTGTCTTTGAGTTTGGTGGGACAGTTCAGCGTGGGTCATCCAAAAAGACATCAGTGGGTCTAGACAAAGTGCAAATTATAATCGCAAACCAGTCGAAAAGTGGTCGAAAAGCCCCTTTTTTGTATGGAGTTTTGACGGATTCGATTTTCGATTCGATCAAAAAGTGCGTTTTGTCTAAGGGGGCAGTTTTGATCAACTAGGTATTTCTAGTGGCACTAAATTAATGACTGAGACGTTTGATGACTCTAATTAGGTTTTTATTTATGGCATACTTAGAATTGCTCTAGGGCCTTTGAGAAAGCTGCAGCAGACATGTACATTCTCAATTATTTTGTACTGCAGATAATATCCCAATTTTATTTATGAAGTTGAAGAAGCAGGTTCTCGAGAAAACTAGAATAATTTGTTTATTACATAAAAATAAATTCTGATATTGATACTTTATTCTAAAACCTTTTTTATTATTCAAGTAGGTCGGACTAGTGGTATGTTATGATTAATTCATTTTAATTGTGTAAAAACTTTNAAATAAATAAATAAATAAAGGTTAAGAACCGCTGTCCTAAATTATTCGTGTTTCAACAGCCAGTGGCGAAGTGAGCGTCCGGCTCTCTCCCTGCGGTTGGTGCTGGCTGGTGGCGGGCAGACGCGTGGTGGCGTGGCCGCGCGAGCCCGCCGCCGGCGCCGCGCCTGCTTCACCCGCGCCCGCGCCGCCCGCGCAGGCTAGGGAGCTTACCTTGCCGCAGACCGACCTGGCGCATAAGGCGGATTTAGTGGAGCTGTTCTATGAGGATGGAGCACAGGTGAGGACAGTTATTAGTCGTGTGGAGTCAATTGTACATGGGTCAGGTAGCTTATACTGCCGAAGACTGATCTGGCGCATAAATCAGACTTGGTGGAGCCCCGGTGAGCATGGTATTGTCTTGATCAGGCGCGTGGTGGCGTGGCCGCGCGAGCCCGCCGCCGGCGCCGCGCCCGCTTCACCCGCGCCCGCGCCGCCCGCGCAGGCCAGGGAGCTTACCTTGCCGCAGACTGACCTGGCGCATAAGGCCGACTTGGTGGAGCTGTTTTATGAGGATGGAGCACAGGTAAGCATGGTCTTTTCTTGATCAGGCGCGTGGTGGAGTGGCCGCGTGAGCCCGCCGCCCGCGTCGCCCGCGCAGGCCAGGGAGCTCACGCTGCCGCAGACCGACCTGGCGCATAAGGCCGACTTGCAAGCATAGGCGCGTGGTGGCGTGGCCGCGCGAGCCCGCCGCCCGCGCCGCCCGCGCAAGCTAGGGAGCTTACCTTGCCGCAGACGGACCTGGCGCATAAGGCCGACTTGGTGGAGCTGTTTTATGAAGATGGAGCACAGGTAAGCATGGTGTTGTCTTGATCAGGCGCGTGGTGGCGTGGTTGCGTGAGCATATCGACCACCCCGCCTGTGTAGGCCAGGGAGCTTACCTTGCCGCAGACTGACCTGGCACATAAGGCCGACTTGGTGGAGCTGTTCTATGAGGATGGAGCACAGGTGAGCATGGTCTTGTTTTGATCAGGCGCGTTATGGCGTGGCCGCATAATTTCCGATTTGATCTCATTTCTGATTTGACCTCGCAGGTAAACTCCGAGCATAGCTACATCGCACTTTGCCTTGAGCCTTCTTATAACGCCCGTTGTAAGAATTGCAGACTGCTATGAAAATAAAGCTTGCTGATTTTTACTAGTACCTAAGCAGGGTATTAGTTGTCTTGAGTGTTTAATTTAAACTTTAACAATGAGGGTATGCATCTGACCTTTGCCTGAAGCGTATTTATTTGAGGTTGTCATTGTTATCAGATGCCGTCGTGCGTGGGCGTGTCGCCGGAGGGCGTGGTGCGCTACTGGTGGTCGGTGGGGCACGCCAGCGCCATGGCCGACGTCAGCTGCGAGCTGGGCGGCCAGGAGTGCGAGCGCCTGCTGCGCGCCGGCGGCCGCCTGCTGCTCGCCACCACCACCTGCTCCGTCGTGCTGCTGCAGCCGCGCCGCCACGGTGCGTAGCAGGGTTGCATGATTTAAATCAAGTTGATTTAAATCATGATTTAAATCACGATTTTTATTACATGATTTTTTAAATAAAAATCATTGATTTAAATCAATGACCGAAAATGGAATTAAAGAAAGGCTGGGAGTTAATATTAATCAACTGTAATGTTCGAAAACAACGTTAATATTAGGTGTTAATGTATGAAATTGTCGTTTTGTATGGAGAATCTGAAAAATTTAAGTTTTCCATACATTCCATTTCAGATAACCACTTAATTAATTTTTTTTGGCGGTGTTGCCTGCTCCATACATCAATGAGGATCAGTACTGTTGTAGAAAATTCAATAAAACTAGTATCTACGTTAATCTTTAAGACATAAGAAAGATATATCTTTTTGAATTATCCAAATCGGACCATTACTTACGAAGATANCTGCCCCATCTAAGGGACATAGGACCATAAGTCAAGTAAGTCATGAAGTTCGTGTTTTGCATCTAAATGACCTTCGTATCCAATACTTTTATTTTTATTGCAAATATTGGATGAGAAACTTCGTGCTTTATTGCTTTTGTTGATTCTTACAAATGGACCACGAGCAAAGTGCTGTTTCTTCGGCTCGCATTCCGAGGGCGGCTAATAGGGCTTTCCCGAACATGCGTCACTGCCCCAGTCCTCGCTCGCGCCTCATACACTCGCTTGTTACGCGTTCGTATATTTTGTATGTCGAATTTATGAACATCCAAGATTTAATCTTCTTTATTCATACAATGTCTTCATTAGTACTGTTATCACGTACTTTCATTTAGCTAAATCAAAAATTGGATCTAATGTCAGTTAGAACTTGACTGTACTGTAAACAGTAAACCTTTAAAGAGCCGCCCACGTTCATCTGAATAAAATCCGCTTCCACTTAATCGGCTTTCGACTTAGAACTAAAACAGCTTTAAAAATAAAATGTTAATAGTTAGGTGCTCAGTAAAAATAAAATATTGGTCACTTGTTTACAGTTCACTTCATAATAAGTAAGGTGTACACAGAAGACCGTAAAGTATCAACCGAAAGTAGTCCAGTGTTGGCCTATTAGATGCGACGTGCTCTACGACATCATTTTCATATATTTGGAAGGAACTATTTATTCTTTGACGTCACGACACGTCCCCACGAGAACAAATTGTTTTAGGGTACAGTCACACTCTTTTATACACGCAGAATAAAATTATTATTTTGGATGGGAAATAGTTGGTCTCCAACTCCCCGTGGAGTCGAATGTGCTAGATTATTAGGCTTTTAATATGTAGAAAAGTAGAATACACGCATTCTACTTCTCTACATATTAGTTTTCATTCATTTACACAGCCTTCAAGCTCTACATTTTCTGTGGATGAACTGTAAAAATTGCGGAACATAATAATAAAGGTGGTTTGTGTACCTCTAAGGGCGAACACATTTGTATTCACCTCATCATGAGGTCGTTCAGTCTTCACTTCAGAAGCACGATCTTCTTTAATTTTACAGACGCAAAGAAGGATTTGGTCTACACTTCCTACGCTGGACCTACCTTCTACAGCTAAAGTTTCTTACTCTACAACTAAGTACGTTACTCGAGAATTATATCACTTTGTTGTGTAATAAGTGTAATTGAACCACAGGGAATCCAAAGTGTATCGGAGCCAGCGGTGCGGCGTGGCCGAGTCGCGGTCATAATTGGTAAGGGCGATTAACCTGGGACGTGCTCGGGGCGCCAATCACGTCTGCAGCGGTAAATAGCACCAGCACAGGGCCCAAGTTCACGGATACAATTATGGTAAGCAATAGACTAAAGTTTATGAATGCGGAGCCTGGACTGGGTGAGAGAAATTGTGGAAAAATTTCTCAAAGAAGTGTGTCGGTAATTACATTTATTTAAGTTCATTTATTCTCAGTCCTGGCTGTTAACTATACGCGTCTGAGATGGCTCAATTAAACCAGGTTGATTTAAAATAAAACTGGAAACTAATTACAAAAACAATTTTTTATTTGGAGATTACTTTAGAAAGCTTAAAGACTTTATATGACAAAATCTAATCATCTACCTAGATACTGTTCAGTTATTTATTCATCTAAAAATTTTTAAATGTAATCTGAAGCTAAGAAAAATAAAAGAACTTTAGTGTCTAGCGACATTTAACTATCGACCTCCGCAGCACTTTTAAAGAGAAAGGCAGTTTTGTAGCATTATAGATCGTGCCTAATTCTATTAAAATCAGATATTATCCTCCGATTTATTCAACGGCTTTCCGCGTATTTGAAATCATCATAAATTTCTGGGAATAAAGAACTGCGCTATCGAGCCCTCCGTTTCTCTGAAGTCAGTTAAAAATAAACTTCAATCGTATCTTGAAGCCTTTTGAGAATAATGTATGATTCTTTATCCGAACTTAATTTCAGTTTATTCAAATTCAAATTCAAATTCAAATTATTTATTTTCAAANGGATTATAGTTTAAATAAAACATTTGATTTGCACTCAAAAAATATTGAATAAATCAATTTATCTTAAATAAGAAGCAACATTTGCATTTAATTTCGACTTAAAAGATAGAGTTTTAATACTCCTTATTTTTAGTTGAAACCAAAATAGAGGTATATCACTGTTAATGATAAAATTGAATTATAAATTCCAACTAAAAAGAAATATAAAGTATAAAATTAAGCTGCTAACTTAATTTTTAGTGGTTTAATTCCATTAATATTTCTTATTTATATAGTTTAATATAAAAACATTACATTTTCATTGTAAAAATAAAAAAATTTTTTTATAAATATTTAAAGATTTAAATAATCTCCTTAATATCTTCAATATTATGCTCTAAAATTATAAGCTATTTAAATATAAAAAAATTATTAAAATAATTAATATAAATATTCATAAAACAAATCTAAATAAATAAATTTTATAATTTTTTATAGAAAATAAATTAAATAAAATTGAATATTTTTTTATAATAAAAAATATACCTTGACCTCTATATATTTCTCTTCAACCCATATCAATATTTTTTAATATTATTTGACCAAAATTTAAAAAATAAAAATTTAAACCATAAGTAGATAAATTAGGTATAAATCATATTAAACATAAAAAATTTCTAATTTGATAAGTTATTAAAAATTTATTAACAGAATAAATATTTATATTTCTAATAATAAACCCCATAAAAACTCCTAAAATTCTTACATAAATAACTATTATTTTTATATTAAAAGGTAAAAAAATTATATAAGGATAAGAAAAAATTAATCATATTAAAAATCTACCTCTAATAACTCTTATAAATAATAAAATTATTATTCTTTTTAATATAATAAAATCTTCATCATATAAATTATAAATAGATAATAAATTATAATCATTAATTATTAAATATATAGTTAAACGAAAACTATAAAATATAGTTAAACCTGTAGAAATATAATATAATAAAAAAATAAAAAAATTTAAATTTCTTAAACTAACTATTTCTAAAATTAAATCCTTAGAATAAAACCCAGCTAAAAAAGGAATACCACATAAAGCTATATTAGATACATTCATACATAAAGATGTTATAGGAATGAAATTTCTAATCCCCCCTATAAAACGAATATCTTGAATATCTATTATTATATGAATAATAACCCCAGCACACATAAATAATAAAGCCTTAAATATAGCATGAGTTAATAAATGAAAAAAAGCTAAATCTGGTATTCCTATTCTTAAAATTCTTATTATTAATCCTAATTGTCTTAAAGTCGATAAAGCAATAATTTTTTTTAAATCAAACTCATAATTAGCAGAAATACCAGCTATAAACATAGTTAAACCAGATAATAATAATAAAATTTTAATAAATATTATATCCAATAATAAAAAATTAAAACGAATTAATAAATAAATACCCGCAGTAACTAAAGTAGATGAATGAACTAAAGCAGAAACTGGAGTAGGAGCTGCTATAGCAGCTGGTAATCAAGAACTAAAAGGAATTTGAGCACTTTTAGTTATAGCAGCAATAATAATTATAATTCTAATTATAAATATTGAATAATCATTTTTTATAAAAGATAAATAAAATAAATAATTTCATCTACCATAATTTATTATTCAACCAATTACCATTAAAATAAATAAATCCCCAATTCGATTAGATAAAGCAGTTAATATTCCAGCATTATAAGATTTAATATTTTGATAATAAATAACCAAACAATAAGAAACTAAACCTAAACCATCTCAACCTAATAAAATTCTTACAATATTTGGACTAATAATTAATAAAATTATTGAAAAAACAAATAATAAAACTAAAATAATAAAACGATTTAAATTTAATTCAGAATTTATATATCTTTTACTATAATAAATTACAACTGAAGAAATTAATGAAACAAATATTATAAATAATAAAGATATTCAATCCAATAAAATTCTTATAATAACTCTTAAAGAATTAAAAGAAATAATTTCCCACTCTAAAATAATAATAATATTATTCATAATAAAATAAATTACTATAAAAAAATTTATTAATCTAAAAAAAATGGAGGCGGGGCCTAGCTCAGGCGCAGACAACAACCAACACGACGACGATGATCCCTTGTTGGAGCAGATGAATATTATAAGGGGATACATCAAGGAAGCCAGGAAGGAGCTTAGGTTTGAAGAGGTTGGTATTAAATTAGTGATGATACAAATGGAGCGCGAGCGCATGGCGCGTGAACCAGTTTTGGAGGCGGGGCCTAGCTCAGGCGCAGACAACAACCAACACGACGACGATGATCCCTTGTTGGAGCAGATGAATATTATAAGGGGATACATCAAGGAAGCCAGGAAGGAGCTTAGGTTTGAAGAGGTTGGTATTCACACATAGTTAAAAAGAGAACGTAATTGCGAACTTAGTCATTACTACATGTTAATAACTATGTTCCCATGGCCTTCTTAGGTAGGGTTAAACATTTTTTTTGAGATCAGTAGGCCTAAGATGCGCGCCGCGATAAGCGGTTATCACCCCATTTTATCGATTTTGCCCATACATTTTCACGTCGATAAGTTATCACGGTGCGCATCTTAGGCCTACTGAAGTTTGTGTTTCTCGGGACGATCTGGAATGTTTTGTGTACTGTGATCCTAATTATTATTTAATAGAACCCAGTTCTAGAAAATAGACTACATACAACATGATTAGCATAATTCATTAAAATTTTCCTTTTTTTTTCTAGGTGGCGATATTAGAAGCGAATCTGAAAGAACTGAAAAAAGAATATCAATTCCAGAAACTCTCAAGCAAATCCTAGTCATTTCAAGATTATTATGTAAGCTTTAGCAAATATTTTTTAAATATTTACTTATGGCATTTGTTTTTATTTACATAAGTATAGCTTTACATACCTGTTAATTGAATTTTTACCTCCATAGTTTAAGTAATAAACAAGTTTATAAATAATACTATATTCATCATTTTGATCTCCATCAATACGCCCAACGATACAGCATAAAAAATACAATAACTAGGAAATATTTACTTGGATTTAAAGTTCTCAATGACTAGATTTTTAAATTCATTATTTGGCATACTTTTCTCTAAACTTCTCCAGCTTGTCTAGTTGCTTCAGCATCTGCGGCCTGGTACATAGAGCCTTCTTGATGGCCTCATCGAGCAGTTTTCTNCATGTTGTAGGTCGCGGTCGATGCTGACGTGGGCTCAAAAACTGAACTCCGACAAACGTTACTTCGACATTACGTTACTCCGACACTACTGAATATCGACATGACTTTACTTCGACACTACACTACTTAGACAAAGGCGAATATCCTTTGTCGGAGTAGTGTAGTGTCGAAGTAAAGTCATGTCGATATTCAGAAATGTCGGAGTAACGTAATGTCGAAGTAAAGTTTGTCGGAGTTTACTTAGGTAGCCATTTGCCCCCATTACCTTTTACCATTGTCGTTCTTATCGTTAAATCGCACAAAACTACACAGAACTCAACACAACATCTATCAAAATCAATTTTCATTTTCATTTTTGGTGCAACAGTCATCTTGACATTTACTTTTTTAAAGGCAAAGGAAATTACATTATGCACCCAAACCACAGAGTACATAATAGTCCAAATATCTTTTTTGTCTTCAATAATAACCCAAAAATATAGTTCCAAAATACTGAACTGTCCTATCCATGACATTGACAGTGGGGCGCCACCGTCAATACCGGATCGCTGGTTCCGATTTTTGCCATGTTGGAAACCATATAGTTGAACGATGGTAGCGTCCCCCTGTCTTTGAGTTTGGTGGGACAGTTCAGCGTGGGTCATCCAAAAAGACATCAGTGGGTCTAGACAAAGTGCAAATTATAATCGCAAACCAGTCGAAAAGTGGTCGAAAAGCCCCTTTTTTGTATGGAGTTTTGACGGATTCGATTTTCGATTCGATCAAAAAGTGCGTTTTGTCTAAGGGGGCAGTTTTGATCAACTAGGTATTTCTAGTGGCACTAAATTAATGACTGAGACGTTTGATGACTCTAATTAGGTTTTTATTTATGGCATACTTAGAATTGCTCTAGGGCCTTTGAGAAAGCTGCAGAGGAATGCTCGGCGTGAGGACACATAAAGCACAATTCCATTTGACCGCCAACGTCTGCAAATCCTCCCGGCGTTACCAGAGCCTCCCCGGGACAAACGCAAAGCCGCCGGGACAATTTGAGCGTAACAGAATTAGCTAAGTGCAGTAGGCTCTCTCTGGGTATTTACTACTATTGACATCGCACGCTTGTATTAACCTGATTAATTGAAAAATAAATGCTGCAGAGGGCACGTGCAAGCGGCTTGCATTAAGTTTCACCTTCGTCAAAGCACACACAATAGCTGAATATTTTTTTACAAATCCCGATCCTGACACAATGGTATTGCTTACCCTCCCTGTTTTATATCACTTTGAATACAACCCGACCAATTACTTGTTAATTCGGGATTTGGCTTAAGGTACGACGAGGGACTTCTGTTTGGGATGGTGGCGTTATTGGACGCGATTCAATTTGGTTTATTGCTTTATTTATACTACGTACTTTATACCTACTAAGTATAGTAAAATGAGTTGATTTGTACATACCTATTTATTGTGATTTGACTTTCACCTGCGATAAATTAAAAATAAATAAATTTTATCGGTCAGAAATGCAAACAAGAATATGTTGTGTGACATTTTTGAATTTCGTGTTACACTCTTGCCGCGAACCTCGCCGCGAAGGGTGGGTTGCGCCATCTTACTTTAACTTTGACAGACGTCAAAGATCTGTCAAACGCCATACAAAAATACCGGTTAACGTTATAGTTACGGTCAAAGTTACGTGGTGCAACTCAGCCTAAGGCATGCGTAATACCTAAACTGAAAAAAGTTTCATATTATTTCATAGAGCTGTGGTTTTCTGAATAAAGAAAAATAAAATAAAAAATTAAGACTGGCACTTTATATTCCACGTATGAGTTTAGTAAACATACGAGTTGACAGAAGTTGATGGCTTTATAATTTTATTTTAGACTTAAAAGATAGTTAATAAAAAATACCGTGTTCTTAATATTCATAGCCCGATTCATCAATTGACGCCGGCAACAAACATCATTGTCTCTTCCATCATCAATTTTGCAGCACACGCCCCTTTATCAATTACCCAGCGTGACGTCAGGAACAGGCAGTGGCGCCCTCTTTTTGCCGCAACATCAGAGAACCTTTGTTCTTTGATAAACAATATCGGAACTCCCCTTTAATTTCAATATTTTGTGCTTTTCATCTTTGGTTTAGAACGTTTATTAAGTCACCTCAAAAGTTTGCTATTAACATTTTTGCTTTTACTTACCAAACGATTACTTACCTATGATAACATTTACGTACCTTTTTGCACAAGTAAGTCAATGAAGTAGGTACCTAGATTCAAGATAAATTTAAAATTTAACCAAGATTGACAGTCGTTTCAGAATCTAAGCCTAAACTTTAGACTAAACACGCCATTTAGTGAAAACAATAAAGAACTTAAAATCTCGAACAGCAATCATGGCAAACGTTGTAATAGGGATAGAGACATGCGATTTTTGGTTTTACGAAGGTAATACGATAGAGAATAATACAAAGTAATAAAAAACATCTGTTATAGGGGCATTTTTTGGAGAAATTAATCAAATGACCAATAAAACACGAATTAAAATGTAGATTTTTTTCAAAAAAGTGTCATTTTTTATTATTTTTTGGCATTTATTAGATATTTTATGTATTTTTTTGTATTGCCTGTTATTTAGCTTTATTGCTGTTTTTATTTTATCAGGATATACCTCTTAGTTAAAAAGTTATTACGTTTTCTTTACAATAAGTAATTGGAAGAAAAAAAAATCGATAAAAATAGGTCTAATTTCACCTAATTTCATATCACACTTTATCGTGACTCACACTGTATAGCCACCTACTCTATTGCAATACCACTCAGGTAACTAAGTCTTTAAGCTCCTGTATTTATGTAATTTACACCGTTACAAATTGTCACTTAGTAAGCAATAAAAATTTTAAAGTTGAAGAATTTCAGAAGCATCCTACTTTAAATTGACAAGGAAGTCGTAGGACTGATTGTAGAATGGCTGAATGATTGTACTCCGCCTGGTGTCGCGAGCCTCCTCAATCACGCGCTGTCGCCCGCACAACGGAAGAATTCGCCCTAAGCCCGCTCCACGAGATTTTAATGGCTTTTTATTTTTTATCCGACTGCGCAGCTTGAAGCCTTAAGCACTGGTTACACTTCTTTCATTAATTTTCATGAGTAATGAAATGTAACTGAATAAAGAAAAATAAAATAAAATAACCCTCCTTCTGGTGCAGTCGGGTAATGAGATGTGCCTCTAAAGTCTAATGGATAGGTAGTCCTATATGAATGAGTGTATTGACTGAAAGAGTGTCTGAAAAACAGGAGAACCCTTCTGAAAAATTTTTAGTCCTGAAACTTAGTTATGATTCATAAAAACTTATGATTCCTAAATACTTAAGATTCCTGAAAATTAAAATTCCTGAAAATAATAAGTTAGAACTATGAAAACATTCTGAAACTCAGTAAGATTCTGAAAAAAAAATTACTAAATAAAACCTAGGTTTCATGAAAACCTAACTTTCCCGAAAACTGTTGATTCCTGAAACTAAGATTCCTGAAAACAAAATTCCTAAAAAGAATATAGGGTTTCCTGAAAACATTCTGAAACTCGGCAAGGTTAAGACTCGAAACTCGGGAAACTTAAGATTCCATTATTCTATTCTATTCTATTCTAAAAAAAGATTCCTGAAAATAATAAGTAACATCCCTGAAACATTCTGAAACTTGGTAAGGTTCTGAAAAGAACCTACGAGTACGAAGTTGCTAATAATACAGTATACAAAAAAAGACCAAATCTAGTAGGATTAGGGTCTCTAATCATCCGGCAATATCTGCTCGATGATGATATTTCATCAGTATTTCAGCTCTCTCAGTTCACTCTCCTCTATAGTTGAGGATTCCGGGTGAAGCTCGCTTAAACCAGCCTGATCATCACTTTCAGTGAGATGCAAGCCAAGACCTTCCTTGTTATGGATAAAAAAAAACAAAAAATCATCACAGTTAGGTAAGCTAGTTATTGCATGCAGATGCACTAAGCACAAAGGGTTAAGTATACATTAGTGTTAAACTCAAACTCATTTATTTCTGTAAATAGGCTTAAAAAAGCACTTTTACACGTCCCAGTATTAACCCTACCACTGCTTCAGGACAATAAATGGGCCAGTTAACCCGTTCCACGCCGCGTCCACGGTTCATTACGGCGACGGCAAGCAGACGTCAAGTTTATTCATTAGGAGTTCATTTCGCTCAATTAACAGTGCTACTCAGTCACCTCTCGCGACCTCTTTGAGAATGCATAATTTGATAAAAACCTAATCTAATATGGCTTCATTACCAAACATGAACAACCTTCTCCAGAAGCTTTTTTAGCAACAACTAAGATTTTTCTTATGATTCTTTTTTCTTATTTTTTAATCGGAACTCCTCATTTTTTTAAGAGTCTCATGCCCGTTTTCACTATCAATCCCTAATGTTTAAATGACCCCTATGGTAACAAATAACAGGATTTTTGTTTACATGGGGGTCACTTAAAAATTAGGGGTGGATGGTGAAAACGGGCATCATGCTCGTTTACACCATTAATCCCTAATTTTTAAGTGCAACCCCTATGTAAATAAAATTCCTGTTATTTGTTACCATAGGGTTCACTTAAAAATTAGGGATTGATGGTGAAAACGGGCATCAATCCATTTATTTACAGTTATGTACAATTAATTTACAGTGAA